GCATGAAAGAACCACACGCATGAACTCTAACTCAGTAATTCCCCATTATGCGTCTGTTATGATTACATGCATGAATGCAGTCTGACAAACTGCTAATTATGCCTTCTGATACCTGCTTCTTATGCAGTTCGGTTCAAAACGGTTGGTCGTAGGGTATCTAATGCCATTTTCGATGCGGACAGTGCTTTCACACTCATTCCCCAAAAGAGTACTGGCTTCTCTGTGCTTAATTTGGCTTAGAACTTCCAGCTTCCTATAAACAACGTTACAGCTTCTAAGTCTTAATCACCACATTCAAACCTTCCAATGGTTTCGAAAAGAAGTTTTTGTCAATTTCACATTCCGCTCGGTTCTTCTGTCACATGGTCGTGGTGCTATCTCGAATTTACGCTCCCGGTGTCCACTCCCTAAGTAGCATATTATTGTTTCGTAGCGTCACCCCATCTTCATGAACCAAGTCCATGTTCTCCTCATCTTCACGTGGGTCCAATGCTAATCCAAATAACTTGCTGCTGGTTTGCTTACATGACCATTGGATTACTGAACGCACAGCTTAGTACGCACCAGGGAGAAGAAAGATAGTCCAGGCCGGAGCCCAGCTTAGAAGCAAGTGACAAAGGCAGACATACCTTGAGTCAACAAGACGACTAATGATGGCTGATGTGGGTCAGCCGGTAGGTGTCATCAAAGGTGAATACACAGCAGACACATTGGCATAAACTGCTCACATGAGAACGAAGGCGCTTAGCCGATTAATATACAACTATCACCCACTTTCCATCATCTTCATTTTATCTTAACTCCCTTGCTGACCTGGTAGGTGTTGCGTAACGCAGATAAGAGTACTGTGCTCAAATCTGGTTCAGGAACAATCCGTACTCGAATATATCTCTCGTAGCTATGGTTCTCCACGGTGGACGAATTTGGGGAACGTGATTCAAAGTGAAGTCTCTCGAATTCACATTAAGCTGCTTTAGGTCTCTGGGATTAACTGTAGGGAAGTGAAGACA